CTGCAACGATACAATCTGGCTACACTGCAGCCACGAGTTGCGCGCGCATGTCATTTTTTATTACTTTCTAACTTGTATTTATTACAATTAAGCTCTCTTTTTCTATTTCTGCCAGACACGTCAATTATTTCTGGTGCTTTGACAAATGTCAAAGTTAAACCTGTAAAGGTAAAATGAAGGTAGACAACTACTAATAAACGAAAATTATTGAAAAAACATTGTTATTTTTCGGTTTGTAGATAACACGTGCATTTAAACATGACTACAAAAGTTGTCTGATTAGAACGACTCGGTCTACGACCTCGTCGTTTTAATCTTTCACACTCGTTATTGTAATCATCTTCATAAACGCACTTGTTATATAAATAACTATTATGTAGTACCTTATAGCTAATACCTTACTTATTACATAGCACTCTTTTCACATACATTACCATTACCTGTAGGTAAAAAATTATGTACTTCCGTAGACCTTTTGGTGTTTATTAATTTCCATGCTTTCCTATTTAAATTAATTGAACCTTTAGTCAAAATATTGATCACCCCTGAGAATCGAAAGTTTTTTTTTAGAAAGCTAAGAAAAATAGCTATGGCTCACAATAAAAAAACAGAAACAAAAATACTGATGGGTACTCACACCCACCCATATTGTTTTCACCTAAGAACCATTTTGCAATAACCTAATTATACATATTTTCACAAAAATGTTTAAATAATTTACAGTTTTTTACACTTTTCCACTTTAATCTTCAAGTGTATATGATTATTCATTTGGCAACAAAACATACGATGATGTATTAATAATTGTTATTAAATATGAAATTAATTATACACATCATCGAAAAGGTGTAAACGGAAATTTGAAGGAATGCAGTCGAGCTGTTGGGTAAATTTGCTATTAGGTATGAGACAAGATAAATCATAGATAAGCCTTAGCTCCGTTTTACCATAAACGGTCAATAATGGTCCTTCGAGACGGTCCTGATTTGCATAAATCAAGACCGGAAAAGCTTCCTAAACCTGTCAACCCGTTACGTAACGAATAAATGCAAATTTTTGCATAGATTATCTGTTTCCAGGGGCGAATTATTAGCTTAGGGACCGTACTAAGGAGTGAACGTTTGATTTTTTCAAAATTTCCGTTAGGTGAGGTTCCAGCTTATGCTAGAAATCGTCAATGGCTTATAATTCACTCGCTCAAAGTGATAATAATGAAATTTTGACAAGTTTAGAGTGTGCTAAACTGTAGAATGCGTTTTTTTTTTTAAGTAAAAGAATGCAACTCCAACTCAGTTTCTTTAGCATGTACAGGGTGAGTCACCATATTTTGACACCCACCTGCAGCCGTAATTACAGGTGATAGGTGAACGGTGTAAATACAAAAGTTGTAGTATTTCATCTGAACCGCCAGAATTTTCAATTAGATTGTACAAATGAGCAACAAAAAGTGAAAAAATATGTCAATGTTCACTTTTTTCAAATAGAATGCCCTTTATTTTCTTTCAAATTCTTAAAGTTCTCGTTTTTCTGATTCAGATTATATAATATGTTAGTGTTTCTTTCGATAGTTTTGGAAATATCTGGAATTTAGTTATTCAAAGAGAGTAGTTTTTTGAATAAATTTCACCTTGATTTACCTGTAACCTGTCGCAAAACATTGTGATACGTGAATAGATCTTTGAATAACTAAACTCCAGATATTTCTAAAATTATTGAAAGAAACATCAACATATTATATAATCTGAATCAAAAAAACGAGAACTTTAAGAATTTGAAAGAAAATAAAGTGCATTCCATTTAAAAAAGTGAACATTGACATATTTTTCCACTTTGTCTTGCTCATTTGTTCCTTCCAATTAAAAATTCTGACGGTTCAGATAAAAAGCTACAACTTTTGTATTTACACTTTTTACCTATCATTGTAATTACGGCTGCAGGTGGGTGTCAAAATATTGTGACTCACCCTGTACCTTATTCATCGAGAATTTTATAATAATTCCAACTAGCTCTAGTGAGAATTCTGAATGGCATAGGTAACCAAAGTTGATTTTGAGACAATGTGGTTTTCAATTGAGTAATTTTGAACTTAAGGCGAGTTTAAACAACTTCATAATTTTAGTTTAGTGCGTGATTCACAATTTAGTGCATAAACTTTAAAGTTAAATTTATTATTTTCTATGGAAGCGTTTATACATCTATTTAATGCTCAATTCATAATTTAGTTCATAATGGATAACCTTAAAAGTTCCTAACTTTTAACTTTTATGCATTAAATTATGGAAAAAACTGGACCTTTCGAGTTCTTTCCGTGTCAAATTTCAAAATATCAATAGAATATTGGTAAAATTTCAAAAATTATGTATTAAATTATGAAGTTGTTTAAACTGGGGTTTTGAGTTATGTATTAAATTAGGCATTAAATTATGAAAAAATTACGACTTAAATTTATCAAAAGTTATTTAAATCCGCCTTTATTTGAGAATAAGAACGGTAAATATAAAACTGCTTGATTTGTCCTGACATCGGACTCAAATAAACAGCCCCAAACATTTTAAAATTAAATTTATAGCCAATACGTTTCCATCAATTTGAGTTTATTTCAATCTACCATTGAAAACTCACCTTTAAATCCACAAGAAATTCTCAAACATGACTTTAATAATCGAGTTTACCTCCACGCATATACGCCCTCAGGAGTCCATTCCTGGCTCTCTAAACATCGGAACAGCTCGTGCCATCACACTTTATCGCGTGCCCACTCATCATCCGGTCGACCCCCACCCAGCGGGAGCTCCCCACCGGCTGTGGGGATCGATCCCCACGCGCCGCGAGTGACGTCACAACTACTACCGCATCGGTGACGTCATCGATGGGTGCAGGATCCGGGCAAGACTTGTTCCTGCGACATCAACAGTAAATAGTTGGAAATAGAGCGTTTTTTTTCTGTTTTCTTTTATTTTTATTGTTCCCTAATAGACTAGAATATGGAAATCTATTTACTTTTTCATGAATAAAGAAGCTGACAGAATACTTAGTCACTTATGTTCAAAATCAAACTCTGGAAATTTGAGTGTTAGCTTTTTCTCAAGTAAGTGATAACTGGAAAGACTTATGGTCGCAACTAGCGAAAATGTTCCACCCAATAACATAATTTAACCGAAATTTTTTTTGTAGAAAGTAGGTATGATCTGACTGTGTAGCCATCCATCTGGGATTATATACAGGGTGATTTACGTAGCCTGTGCATTAGCTTGCAGATGGATTAGATGCTACTATTTCTACTAATCCACCTGCAAAGTGGACAACTTCTAATGTAGGGGCTACGTCAATCACGGTGTATATCTGAACCGGAAGATATACCGTGAACCAACGGCTTGCGATCTGTTACAATATGGACCTTCTACGGAATATCGGAAACGTTCAATACAAAAACGTTCTCTCTGAAAACCAACAAAATCTGTTAAAAAAGTTCAAAAAACTCAGAAATTTCCTCATCTGCCTGAACAAATGTTGTAGGTACCTATTGCCTAAACTTTTTCATCAAGTCGTTCAACTCGAGGCTCATCAATTTTGTGACCTGAAAGTTCAATTTCTCGAAGAACAACTTTTTCCAATATCCAATTAAGATTCCATAACTTATATACTTGGAACCTTTTGAAAAATAACCGTAAATGATTGAAATGTTCGTCGATAGTTTTATTGGCATTGAGACAATCATCCAAATAAGAAAAACAAAAACTTGTAACCTCATACATAAAACGTTGAAATGCCGGTGCTGCATTTCTCAGACCAAACGGCATTTTTACATACCCGTATTAACTGAAAGGTGTAGAAATTGCAGTTTCAAGAATATCAGCAGGATTGATAGGAATTTGATGATATGCCTCAGAAAAACAATTTAAGAGAAATATATTTACTCTTGCGGTGATGAGAGATTTTCAATTTATAAAATAAATGTTTTCAATGAATTCACCAATAAAAGAAAAGTAAAGATACAATGATAAGGCTTGTGATGGTGAATGTGTATTTGCAAAAATACCCCTAGAAAGAAAAATTCGCTATACCTACGTCACCAATCCAGAGGTAAACTTTGCGAAATAACACTCAGAAAAACCCATTCAAGGTGATAACGGTTCAGTCAATACTTTAATAATCTTATGCATAGACGGTATAAATCTTCAGATATCCTCAGTACCGACATTATGGACTTTAATAATGTCTCCATCTTCCTTCCTTTCAATGGTGTTGAGGAATTTGTATTAAATCTCAATAGTTCTGTCTTCTTTCTGTGTTGATTCCTTTAGGCTATTGTTTTTGTTTTGTGATGCACTCTTCTCCTTCATCCATCCTTGTTTTCAATTGCTTCGAAGTTTTAACGTTTTCAAATTTTCTCCTATTTTTAAAGTGCTGCATCATGTCTCATTTTTTCCTTATGCATGAGTTTATGTATTCCTCTATAATATTCTCTTTTATTTGTTTGATCTTGTATCTTAACAATATTCTTTGCTGTACAATTAGATCTTGAGTGTCTTGGCTTGGCTCATGTTCTTTTTCTGTATCGATAGATTTTATTATTTTCTTCCATTCTTTAATTTCTGAATCATTTAGGATTTTGCTCTCACCATCCAATGGTCACTGCATTATCATATTGAAGTGATCGTTTATCACAAATCATAAAATCGACTTGATTTTTAAGGTTCTGGTATGAGTTTTGCTTTACCTGAAATGGAGATTTTTGTTTGTTATTGTAATGTACAACAGGTTTTTTTTTCTACTGTTTTGTAAATCAACTCATATGAACAATATACCTAGAAGTTCAGGGTGTCCAGGGATGGAATCCAGAATCGTCTCGGAACAGACCCGGCCGTCGATCGGGGGAGAGCGTCGGTGCACTATGACGTCACTGCGACGAGTGACGTCACACGTCGTCGCCGCGACGCGATGCCTTGCCGTTTATAATGAACGGAAAGTTGTGGCAGGGGAACAAAGTGCCGGCAGATCGAACGGCGAACGGTTCGGTAAAAGAAGGAGAGTACTTTTAACATTTACATTACTGCCGGACTTGAGATTGAAAAAGAAAATCGCGCGCGTGAAGAACTTGAGTATCAATAACTTGTCTTTTCGGGAAAAAAAAAATTATGTTTTAGTGCAAGAAAAAATGGACTTTTATTATATGGCTAGTGCAATATATTAATTAAAATAAAGACTTTCTAGTGACAAATTAGTGCAAGTGAACCTAGAGTACCTGAAACTCCATACCGTCCAAAAAAAAAACATATATCCTTCATATTAAAAGACATTATTCTTAGTAATAATTATGAAGTTAATGGACAATAAACTGAATACAAAAATTGTATTAGAAGCACACACACCACATATTTGAGAACTGAATGTTGTTAATCTCTCTGTTCGAGGTGGATTCTCCCTCGGATAGCCTGCTGGAAGCAGAAGCTTCGCCCCCATCGCCAGGTACTTCTTGTAGTAGAGTACCCCTTAGGTAGCTGTCCAAAAAAAAAAAAAAGTTGTTTGCTAATTGTTGCATGTAGCTGTTAGGGATGCGCCAATGCGTCTACGGCCTTCCGCTTCGTTTCGTCACCCGGAGGGTTTCTTTAGGGCCCCGTGCCATGGAACAGCTACAGCCGCAACGGCTGTTGTAGCCGAGGCTACCGATTCCAATAACAATTCGCCTTCGGGATTTGGTGGTTGTCATCTGAACGATAAGTGTATGTACTGAATTTTTTTCTAATGGGTGATGGCGCTCTAAACTAACGCTGTAATTATTTCGTTACTAACCCAAAAATTAAAAACTTTGTTGACGGTAAACGGGCATACATTTTTATTACTCATTACCTATCGATTAAATTTAGATGAAAATAATCAATTGGCAACTTAAAATAACCAAATCCGGCAATCAGTTGTTCCAATCGCAAATAGGAGAGCCCTTAGCAAGATATTTATTGTCTTTAAATTATTTTAATGTAATGAGTAGGACTTTGTTGTCTGTCATCTTATTAAGATACCTACTGACCCATATCCAAAAAATTGACACATGTAAAGGCTGGTTTCATTAGAAATTTCAAGAAGTAAGTAGGTACCTTCAGTTCCTCATCAACATTCAATTGAAGTATTTATAGTATCATTGTACCGACTTATTGGCTTATCCCGATTTATTCACCTTCTGATAAACTCATGCAATCTGACTTATGAAAATGCATTCTTTAATCCTATATTGGTCGGCCGGATACTAGTTTTTCTTATAGCCAGTTACCAGAAAGTTTATGGCAAGATGAATAAACTAAACCAAGTAAGACAAATAAGGTGGATTTCCAAAAATGTAATTTCATAAAAACATCAACATTGATATCAATAATTATATTAACATAAAGAATTAATTTTTTCATAAGTAGGTATACATCACTTGAGTCAGTTTTTGTTACCTGATGGTGAACCTTGGTTGCTTAAAAGCTGAAGTTGGACTAATAATTTTGAAAAAAATAAGTTAAGTGAAACGCTATTTCGTAGAAAATAGCATTTGAGGAAAATCTAATATAAAATCGAAACGTTGTTATACTTTTCAAGAAAGTAAAGTTCTAGTTCCTTAACTCTTAAAAGGCGTTTTCACACTTGCCGACACCATACCTTTAACATTACCGACGCTCAATATCATAAAAGTAGCTGAAGAGCTGCAGCGACATCCCGGTGGCATATGATAACTTTAATGATATGTATCTTCTACCGCCATCGTTATGGGTCTCATATTAAATTTACCGTCACGATACCAATGACATCAAGTATCATCATTATACCGACATGTCGGCATCATTGTTAATTTTACTTTAACATAAAAGCTTAAATTATCCTATCAGAAATTAACGCTTATATGACAAGATTCTTTTATGATATTTTAAGGAAAAAAAAAACACTCAAACTCTTACCATGGATGGAAAAACCATCGTATAAAACTGCAAGCAACATATATAAGGGGAGTACAGTTAATCCTCCGCAAGCTGAATGATGACATTGTTGACAAAAGCTCACGTGAATTTTCCTTTGAAGTTACAAAACTATGGTCACATGTGGCTATCATCTTTTCGCTCGAGCAGGATCAACCGAACTCTACTATATAGAATCCAAAAAAAAAAAATCAAATTCCTACACAAAGATCTACAGCAAAATAATACCAAATACTCTAACTTCAGCTTATGATAATGAAAAATAGCAATTCTGCATCAAGAAACACACAAAAGCAAAAAACCTTGGTAGTCAAATTATTTTGCAGTCAAAATCTCCAAAATTAATTCACTGTCTGTGATTCAAATTCCTGTTCTGTGAATAAATATTCATCAAAATGTGGGCGCTCTTCTGGGTCAAACATTTGTATTTTAAATCAAGTACGACTTAACTATTATCGATCTATAAAAAAAAACTATAAAACTGCCTCTTATTGCATGCTTCGCCATACCTACCTCCTGTTTTGGGGTGATGCAAGTCAAAAAACATCTATCCTGATTCAATTTTGAAGGTTTTAAACTGCGATTTAATTTATTTCATCTTTTAAAAAATGCTATAAATTCAACACGCCGCGCCATTTCAAGGTTGATACTTAAGAGAAAACTATTAATTAAATCGAGGACAAAAGTATAGTTTTTTGGCGTAGACGCATAAAATTATAGTCAAATTTGAATATTTTTTTTTTTTGCTGAAAGATACCAGAAACTACTGAAAACCTGATTTAATGGTAATCGATAATTGAAAAATACGGATTCAGGCAAAATTCGATACATCTAAAAGTGAAATTAATTTTGTCTAAATTGCTTATAGCATATACTTATGCGAAACTTGACCCGAAAGGTGTCAATATAATCAAGTTTCATAAGTGTCTGCATTCTAATTTTGATGGATGCCACAATTCTTTAAGACCATTGCAAAGTTAACTTATGGAATTTAATTTTCAATTCAACAAAGAAATGAAAATATACCAACCACTACCTAATGAATTTTGGGGTTTTGCCAGTGGTCAAATAGTTAATTCAGTTTTTGTTTTACAAAAACGGGCTGTTCGTTTATTGTGTGGAGTCGGCTCTAGGGAACACTGCCGGCCTCTGTTCATCCGGGAGGAAATTCTTACATTGACCTGTATTTTTATTTTACTGACGGTGGGCATGGTTCACAAAAAATATAAAGGATCAGATGACAATAATGACACCAGGACAACTAGGTTCAACAGCAACAATCTGAGTCTGTGCATCCCAAGGAGTGCATTAACAAAAAACTCAATAATATATGAGGGGAAAAAGATGTATAACCACCTGCCTCTTGAGATCAAATATCTAGACAATAGTATCCTTTTTGCTAGAAGGGTGAAACAGCTTCTGCTCTTAAAAGCATATTTCTCTCTGGAAGAATTTTATGGCGATAGGCTCTAGCTTTGGCGATTGTATGAATTATGATGTCTATCTGTAACTTGAAAAATACTTTGATCTTTATTTTTGTTTGTTCGCTTTTTTATTTTTTTATTTGTATGTACCATATATAAGAGCTTGACTGGATTTGTGAATGACATTTTGAGTAGCAGTTTTTGGTTTTTTAATGTTTTTATCTTGATTGTCTTTGTTAGTTTTTAGTATTTTAACATGTAACGTTTCAGTGTCTCCTCATAATGTTTTTGTATTATTTTTGTATTATTTCCATTTTAGCTTTGTAAATAAGGGTCTTAAGGCCTTTTTGTACAATAAAGCATTTTTTGATTTGATTTGATTTGATTTGAATGATGAAGAAATTCCAAATATTTTAACAAAATCTATTTTCATGACAATGACTCGGATTCTTATGCAAAAATCTTGTTTCTAAAATCTACCTATTTCACTTTAAAAATTGCATAAATTCAATGAAAACTCAAGAAATTGCCTGTGTCAAAAATCCTGTTTTGTCGATTTCACTAACCCATTCTGAAATCGAAAAAATTATATAAGAACCGATGAATGAGACCAAATAAAGAAAAAAACATGCAAATTTTTTTGAAAAATTTACATTTTTTAAACAATTTTTGTGTGTCGCTGATGTAGCCCCTAATAATAAATAAAAACAATAAATGATGATATTGCCAAAAAATGCAGATTTGACGATAGTTATTTCCTTGAGAGTTTTGAATTTTTAATGTCCTATTTGTGTGATAATTTCATATTTTATTTCAAAACCTGTACAAGCAAACTTATAATCAAAACGAAAACATAAAATTAAAATAAAACGCACTTAAGTACAGAGGCGGATACAGGCCTTTTGAAAGGGGAGGCAGTTTAAGTTAAAGTACTGAGCTAGATTGGGTTAGTTTTGGCAGCGCATTGTGCAAGATACCGTTTTTCGAAGGAGGTCCACCCATAAGTTCCGCAATAATCCACTTATTTGTACTTGAACAATAACTTATTATATAAAGGCAAAATTTGTAAGATTATGGTTATTCACTTTTTGTCAATTTGCCTTTCAGAAGGAATTAATAATGTTACTTTAAAAAACTAGTAACATAATGTGACAAGTTATTCAAGTACAAATGAGTGAATTGTTGCGGAACTTATAGGTGGACCTCTGCGGGACGAGCGCAGCGAGTTCCGCAGCCATCCATTCATCAATATGTTGTTTAATTACGATACTAAACTAACTCACTCAAATGTGCGTTATTCTCATTAGTTTAAAAATTACACATTTCAGGTGAATGTCTTACTTGAACAGTTCAATCCGCAGAGATCCACCCATAGGTTCCGCAACAATCCATTTATTTGTACTTGAACAATAACTTATTATATAAAATCAGAATTTGTAAGATTATCCACTTTTTGTCAATTGGCCTTTTAACAGGAATTAGTAATGTTACTTTACTAAACTAGTAATATATTGTGACAAGTTATTCAAGTATAAACGAGTGGATTGTTGCGGAACTTATGGGTGGATCCAGCCATCTATTCGCCAATATGCTGTTCAAGTACAATACTAACCCTGATTCACTCAGTTGAGAATTTTTCTCATTAGTTCAAAAACTACACGTTTCAGGTGAGTGTCTTATTTGAACAGTTCAACAGTATATTGGTGAGTAGATGGCTGCGGAACTCGCTGCGCTCGTCCCGCAGAGGTCCACCCATAAGTTCCGCAATAATCCACTTATTTTTACAGGCTATTTTTTTATATATTGACACCCCACCTACAGCTTTTACCTTCACAGGTAGAAGAAAGGTGTAAATACAAAAGTTGTACAGTTTTGGCTGAATTATTAGAAACCATGGTCAGAAACAAAATTTGAATGTCAGAAATGTGAAATTTTGCATGCATCTAGCTTTTTTCAAATGGGATGCCCTATTTTCATTCTAAATTCTTGAAGAGCACAATGCCTCGATCTATATTTGATTGAGCAATATCTCATATATTTGGCTCCAAAAATTTTAAAAATACTATCCTACTACTGATTTTGTGAACCATTCTACCTGTACAGGTGAAAGCTACTTGGTTTCTCTGATAGTATTTTTAAAAAATTTTATTTACGACTAATGTATAATGTGCGTATTATATTTGTGATTTTGGCAGTATAATGACATATGTTATTCCTCCAGGGATTAATGACGAGTAGCGGGATTAATGGTCATTATTCCACAAAAGTGTCAGTGTCAAACGTGTAGTGCTTGTGGATTTGTATTGAAAATTATGAGACGGATCAAATTTGTTCATTGAAAATCTC